TTTTAGGAATTTAGGATACCACAAGCTGAGTTTATTGACTTGTGTTCCCTGGCAGTTCGCCAAGGCATATTAGGACAATTATTCCATTTCCATAGATTTCGGCCCTGTTCGTTTTTCTTAAAATCCGTACTTTTTAGCTTTTTTTTTTCCAGCTAGAACAGTATTTTTCTCTCACAACAAATCAGTCGGAACAATGTTTCGACTTATTTTTTCAGCGAAGCGAACATGCCGAAAGGTGCTATGGCGGCTGTAGCTTTGTCCTTAATCCATCGTATTTCGTGTGATTGGTACTAACACCACTTTATTATATTCGTAAAATATACTGCAAAACAAGCTAGTTGTGCTTATACTAGTCACGCAGAATTAAGAGGGAATCAGTGGCGAGGATGTTGGCCCTTGGCGATCGTCATGCGGCAGCGGCAGACCCACAAAATATTTCAGGGGTCTGAACAATATTGTTGTCCGATCTTAAATCTTAGCCCTCCAACATTATAGAACTTTGCCTAAAAATTTATGAGGACTCCACAGGAGTTCCACTGCTGCGATATGAATAGGGGGGCTTGAGCCCCCCCGCCCCACTGCCGGCAGACATCATCGGCATAATAGTTTCCGTTTCAGGGATAATCAGCGAAACTTGTCGAGTACCTATAACGAGTGACTCATAAGTTAGCTCTAATTTTTTTTTTCATATTTTAATAGAGAAGTGAGAGAGCTAATACATATAATTCAAGACTACGTGAGAGTACGTCGTATATGTTAAAATTTCACACTATTGAGAAAGCTAGCCTAGAGCTGACGTTGCGGGTGCCCTGAGTAGCGCAGCATGTGACTCTGAGGCCCGTTTAGATCCAAAAATTTTTGGATTTTGGTTCACGGTAGCATTTTGTTTGTATTTGGTAATCAGTGTCTAATTATGGACTAATTAGGTTCAAAAGTTTCGTCTCGCGATTTCTTACCCAACTGTGTAATTAGTTTTTTTTCGTTTACATTTAGTACTCTATACATGTGCCGTAAAATTTGATGTGACGAATATTACGCAAAATTTTTTAGAATCTAAACATGCCCTAAAATTGGCGCACAGCCTGCCTGCCTGTGGACGAACGAGTCCGCAAGCAAGCTGCTGGGTGTGGCTGGGTTGGTGCAGTCCCCGTCCAATTCCCCGCTGCCCCTTTTCCTGCGGCCTGCTCCCTCCCGGCCTCAGCTTCCCCGCCGGCGACCAATAATCCGGCGACGGAGAATCCATGGCACCCATACTATTGTTTAATGACGCGGATTAGTAGTACTAGGAGTAGTATAGTTTAGCTGCAATAATGGAGCGTAGATTATTGTCGCAGCCTTTGTTTAGTTGGAGATCGATTTAACTAATCACGGGGCGGCAGGGAGCTAGGGAGCGTTCCACTGGCTGGCTGGGCTGAGCCCGGCTGGCCAGCTCACTCACAGAAACACTATTTATATCCAGATAGAATAGTATTTTTTTCTCACAACAATCAGTCGGAATAGTATTTTTTAGTCCTGCTGAACAGGTCCTGGGTAAAGCTACCAGCTAATTGGCGCGGGCTATTCTAATGCCCTAAAGCTTCCCTGCACTTGACCTGTGACCAGGATCCACGTTCTCTGACGACTTGGGATCACTTTGGGATGTAAAGTGTACTATCCTCCTCAGTTGTAACAAACCGTCACACGGCGACTTGCAAGGTGTGGTTAACTACAACCGCGGTAACTTTTACTATAACCCAGTTACCTACCCATATATGCATGCATGCTGCACTGCAGAGTGCAGGTGGTGGGCCGTTGGATCTCTTCACGCGATCAACGTGCACCGGTCGGTAGCACGTGTACTACTCCTAGCAGACGTCATGTCAGGGACGTCAAACAGTCTGTTCGATTGGCTGGTTCGTATTGTTGCTGATTCATTTATATAAGAGAGAAGTACTACTGACTAATTTAGATAAACAATGTTTTTATGAGGGGCTGGCCAGCCCAGCCAGCTAGCCCCAGCCGACCACGGATGAGGACGAATGTTAACTATTATTGTACTATACTAATCAGGAAGCAGATGATGAGGCGGCCAGGACCGGGAGGCAGCAACCGACCGCTGCCAAAACCGAACCTAAAGCCGTCGCGCTCGCTCTCGTTTTCTGCCCGGGAATCGATCGGCAGGCGGAAAGGAAACGCACGCGAAGCCCCGCGAGGCCGCTGTTGTGGGGTCGGGTCGACAGGGACGCGCCCCCTGCTGCGCCCACTATGTAAAGATGGCAACGGGACTCCGACGATTCCCCACGAGAAATTCCCCTATTAGGAACGGGGATGGTGCCAAGTCCATTCCCACAGAGATTAAAATGGTAGGAACTTAATCCCCGTCGGGGCTGGCGGGGACGGGGACGGTTCCCAATCCCCCGACCCCGATCCCCGTATCCCCGCCCCGCTAGCAGCTGTGTAGGTGCGAACCAGCAAGTGAAGGCCCATCTAAGGGCCCAATTACAGGCAGCCAATATATATGCTGCGAGTCTGCGAGTAACCCTAAAGCTATCCTTTCATCCTTTCCTTCCAGAACCAGCCGGCAGCCGCCGCTAGGTTCTGTCTCATCCCTCGCTGTCCCGCACCAGACGCGACGCGACTCCGCAGAGGCCGGGGCGCCGACACAGCACCGCCAGCAGCGTCCGCGGCTCCGCTTCGCCCCTCTCATCTCCCGCACCAGAGACCAGACGCGACTCCGCCGAGGCATCCCAACGTCCGAGTCTGCTCTTGTCGTGTGTGTTCTGAGAGAACGCTGGCGGCTCAAATCCAGCCTGTTGGAGTGCTAGTAAGTGCGATGGTGTATGTAGCTTGCTAGTGCATTTAAGCCTGCTCTTGTTCCTTCCCTCTACATCTGTGTGCTACTTGATCTGTGAGTGCAATGATGTATGTACAACGTGCTGATGTATGTATTGCGTGCTTGCAATGGTGCTTCTGTATCGGAATTTCACGGTGTTCAATTTGTTATGTTCCTGACCTCTTCTACGGCTATACTCTTCTATGACTGTCATTGAAACGGGGACGGGTTCCCCGCGGGGATCAATTCCCCGCTCGGGGATGGGGATGGGGCCCGACGGTTTTGACGGTGACAGGGACAGAGACGGGGAAATTTGTCCCTGGGGACGGGGATGAGGAGTCATTTCCCGACGGCAATTCCCCGTTGCCATCTTTACCACTATGGCACTGTCACCTGTTGCCGTCACTCTTTTTTTTTATCCCCTCCTCCGTCCACTGTCACCCGCGCCTCGTATTCTCGACCACATTAATTGCTGCTAGAGACCGTTTTCGTATTTGGTATACGTACTACGTACGTTGGGGGAGACTGTGGAGGAAATTTCGAGGGTGAGACTTGTCCCTTGCCAGCATTTTTTCTCTCGACCAATGCTTGTTTTTTACCACTAAAATTGACTTTGAAGCGTGTACGAGTGGTACGTACGTAGGAGTCCAGCTAAACAAGAGCACCAGCCTGCTTTGTGTTGGACTGTACTAATAAAATAGTCACACACCGTTCAGGCGTTCACACACCACATGGCACCACCCTGTTGCTGTTGGGCGGGCGAGGCGTGAGAGAAAAGAGGCGGGCACGCTTTGCGTTGCCTGCCGCAACATGACGGCTGGCTTTCCTGGTGGGGGACGCGGTTGCATGCCGGCGGGTCGGCGAGGAACACGCTGATGCGCTCTACGAGTAGGAGTAGTCAGCTAGACAGCCTAGGCATCAGGCCTCGTCGCGCGGGCCTACATGCCAGCGGGTGCGGGTCGGCGCTCATTTGAGCCTGATGGCAGCGGACGACGCCTGCCGGCCCTGGTACGCGTCGTCGAGCGCAGCGCCGTCGGGGGCCACCGGCAACCAATACTGCGCCATCACTGAGCGGCTACACGGCTCGTCGTAGCAGTAGTCCTACTTGTAGGAGTAGCAGCAAAGCAGTGGTCAGTCGAGGAGTGGCCCCAGGCGGCCCCCCGTCCTCCTCTGGCTCCATCTCAGAACACGACTACACGAGGCCCCAGTCGCCCATGTGCCTGTGTGTGCGGCAAGTGCCGGGGATCCCCACGACTGGACGACACGTAAAAGACAGGCCGGATCGGGCGTGGCCCGCGTCGGCCCCACCCGGGCAGCGTCGGACGCAGGGAGGTGACAGCACGAGACGGGCCACGGGCGGGGGGCACGCCACGCTCGCCCGTACGGGTACGTACCAGTCCCACAGCGCTGGCTGCCCAGGAAAGATTCGCGCTCGCGCCGTGGGGGCACACCACCGGGTGCAGCAGCAGCCGGGTCCGGCCTCCGGGTGGGGGCGCCATCCGTAGCCAGCCACTCGCCCGTGAAAGCTTTTACTTCTACGGAAAGAACCGAGCAGCGCAACCTGTTCCCAAGTAGCCACCCCCACCCAGCACCCACCCACCGCGCGCAGGGCAGTCCCCACCCATCCACCGATCCATCGCATTCCACCCGTCTCTCTCGGCGCCCTCACCCTCCACTCCGCTGCTGCCTCCTGCTTCCTCCTTGCCGCCGCGACCGCGACCGCGACCGCCGCTCGCTGTCGAGGCCAGCCAGAGGAGAGGAGTATAGTCAAGTCCGCGGCCACCTCACCTGCCCAGGCTCAGACCCCCCAGCCTCCCTCAACGCAAGCCGCCTCGCCTGACGCCTCGTCTCCTCCACGCCACACACGCACGCCGCGCTCACCCCCGCCTTCCCTTCCCTTCTCTTCCCTTCCCCGGCGACCCGGATCCCACCGCGCCCGCGGCGCCAGCGAGCTCCGCCGACGAGTCGTCGGCCTCCCGGAGCTCAGCACGCAGGTGGGGCCAGTGAGCTGTGCAGAGGGTCTGGTTGTGCGTGTGGCCGCGGGCGTCGTCGGGGCAGATCCATGGAGCTCAGCCGCCCGCAGCGCGGATAGTACTGCACGTCTGCACCAGTGGATCGCGAGGACTGCCCCACCTGCTGCTGCTTGTTTGTTTCGCTAGCCATTTTTGAGGCGTCTGGTTTAAAAGACATGGCCGCGCCCAACCCTGGAGCGGCTGCTGGCTCAGGTTTGGGTTCTTGTCTCTAGCAGTCTAGCTGAATTTCTCGTTCCTATGCTATTGTGCTACGCCTTCTTTGAATTTGCTGCGGTTTCGCTAAATTGGCTTGTGCGAAACTACTGAGGCACTGGGCCCTGGATAGGGTCGAGTTCGTTGGGTGGACTTCAATAGTTGACTAATTTGTGTGGAAAACGTCGCAGAATTCTCATAATTTCAGTGGACGTCAGTAAACGGAAATTTTAGGGGAACCAACGATTTTCCTTAATAATTGGCTTGCAACTCTCGATGATTCGTTTAGATTGTTCTCTGTCGAGTGTCGACAGAGTAGTTTCATATTTTGACCACGTTTTCTCCTTATACAGAGGCATGCGTGTCACCAGTTCTCCAATGGAGAAAAGTTTGGATCGGAGACCTATTACAAATCTAGATCTGTTACTTTGATTTTTAGTGTCTGTTTTATGTGGCTAGTTTACCACCAGTATTGTTGCTTCTCGAATGGGGTATTTTGATGTGGTGGATTGGATCCATGTGCTCCTGTTCAGTCTGCAACTTTTAGCATTCTTCCTAATGGTTCAGATAGCTCATGATTAGTAGTTATAAAATCGAACTATAAAATAGAGAAAAAACAACTATTTCTGTATGTTCTGTATTTGCTCTGATGACCCATTGATGCTAATTAATTGCTTCTATTCAGGAGGAATGCCTAGTGACGCCCTGTACCGGGAGCTGTGGCATGCGTGTGCTGGGCCGTTGGTCACAGTACCTAGACAAGGCGAGCGCGTCTATTACTTCCCCCAGGGCCATATGGAGCAGGTATTCACTGGTTTGATCAATCTTGTATTTTGTGGCGCCTCTGTGTGCACATGGATTTGGGGTTTCTTTTCCTCAAATTGTTCATGATTTCTTTTATAGCTTGAGGCTTCTACACACCAGCAGCTTGATCAGTACTTACCGATGTTCAATCTACCACCCAAGATCCTATGCAGTGTAGTCAACGTGGAACTACGGGTCAGTGTGTTTTTTAGATTCTGTCTGGTGCAACCTCCTTGCATGTGTGTTTTGGGGGATTGGTTGTTCTAGGTACTGAACTGACAAATCTTATAATTGTGCTCAATCTGTTGAACTCTGCAATTCAGGCCGAAGCTGATTCAGATGAAGTTTATGCTCAAATTATGCTGCAACCAGAAGCTGATGTAAGTCTGCATAGTTTTACTCCTGAGAACATTCAAGTGTTCCTTTCATTTCTGTTTTTGGTTTGGTACTACTTCATTGCCTTTTTACATAAAATTACATGTACATACATTTATTTATTTATCCTGAATATGCTTGATCAGCAAAATGAACTCACCAGCCTGGACCCTGAACCAAAAGAACCTGAAAAATGCACTGCCCATTCCTTCTGCAAGACACTGACAGCTTCAGATACGAGCACTCATGGCGGTTTTTCTGTTCTTCGGAGGCATGCTGAGGAATGTCTTCCTCAGCTGGTTAGCATCAAAAGCATTGTATGACTCAAAGAGATTTCTTGACTAGCAGATATATATTACTGTGTATAACCTTTTGTAGGACATGTCTCAAAATCCACCCTGCCAAGAACTGGTTGCCAAAGATCTTCATGGCACTGAATGGCATTTTCGGCACATTTTTCGAGGTGTTTTGCACTCTTCACTATGCTTGAAAATTCCTTCTATTGAAAAATAGCCTTTCTTAATTTGTATTTATATCTCTTAATTTTGATGTAATCCGCTCCAGCGTTGCATAAACACAGAGATATTCTGTAGTTCCATTTCCATTTTTTAGTCTCATGCCTGCCTTCCCATGTTTCTTCCAGGGCAACCCAAGAGGCATCTCCTTACCACTGGCTGGAGTGTCTTTGTTAGCTCAAAAAGATTGGTTGCTGGGGATGCATTTATCTTCATGAGGTACAATATCCTGACTCCCAGAGCATGATAACTGGAGAGGTTTGGTGCATTTTGCACCTGTCACCCAGCTTTTGGTTTAATTGGGGATTGTTGGAATCCGGAATCCTGCGTAGGTTGTAGCCAAAGGAGGTGGGAGGCCGGGGCTTTGGTTCCTGGCGGCAGCGAGGCTGAGACGCCGTGCTGTCTCTCTGTGTGTGCGCGTGTGGAAAGGCAGGGGTGACAGGGAGGGAGCAGGAGAGATTATTCAGTCTCCAGCTTGTCTTTATTAACAATAGAGTCTAGGCTTTAGCCAAATCCTAACGAACGCTTGAACTAATCCAACTTGACTGAGCCTATCGTCTAGGGAGTCTGGTGGCCAGGACCAGGCCCAGGTGCGTGCCCCTCAGCCAATGCATGCTGCGCCTGAACTAAGTGACTGAGATCCTATGGTTTTCAGCCATTGCATGCAGGTGACCAGGGCCAAGTCCAGGCGCCTCTCAACCATGCATGCTGGTGACCAGGACTAGGTCCAGGCGCCTCTGAGCCACCGGTCTTGGCCATAACATCTACAATAACATCTCTCCCTCCCTCGACAAACAGCTCGTCCTCGAGCTGAAACGTATACTACGCCTACCATAACATCTCTCCCCCCCCTTGACAAACAGCTCGTCCTCAAGCTGAAACGTCGGGAACGCGCCGTGGAAGGTGTCGACAGGCTCCCATGTAGCCTCCGCATCAGGCAGTCCCGGTGGTGCCATGGTCGGCACCCTCATCCTGAGAGTCATCGTTGTCGTAGTCGGTCACCTCCAAGTAGAAGAGGCGCTGGCACTCGTGGCCGCGCCGGACGCCTGTTGCACTACCTGTCGCCGTGCTGCCACCGGCGCCTCAGCTGCTCGCACTGCCTGCTCCGCCCCCTGGCTCCACCGCGCCCATTCTGTCGTCTATCACCAGCCGAGCTCGCCGAACGTCGCCGGCAAGGCCTCTGCTACAATTGCGATGAGCAGTATGTGTGCATCCACAAGTGCTAGCGACTCTTCTAATTGGAGGTGACCGACTACGACAACGGCGACTCAGGATGAGGGTGCCGATGATGGCACCACCGGGACTGCCTGAGGTGGAGGCTACATGGGAGCCTGTCGACACCTTCTGCGACGCGTTCCCGACGTTTCAGCTGTTTGTCGAGGGAGGGAGAGATGTTATTGTAGGCATAGTATACCAGTGGCTCAGAGGCTCCTGGACCTGGTCCTGGTCACCAGCATGCATGGCTGAGAGGTACCTGGACTTGGCCCTGGTCACCAGCATGGCTGAGGAGTATAGGATCTCCGTCAATTAGTTCAGGGGCGGCATACAGTGGCTGAGAGGGGCACGCACCTGGGCCTGGGCCTGGCAACCAGACGAGCTGGAGATTGAATAATCTCTCCCGCTACCTCCCTGTCACCCCAGCCTTTCCACACGCACACACACAGAGACACAGCACGGCGTCTCAGCCTCGCCGTCGCCGGGAACCGAAGCCCCGGCCTCCCACCTCCTTCGGCTACAACCTAGCAGGATCCTGGATTCCAACAGGGATGAACTTTTATATTTCTGTACTCATTATGGATTACTTTTTACTTTCTGCTGAATGGCAGAGATGAAAATGGTGAGCTACGGGTTGGTGTAAGGAGGCTCATGAGACAAGTAAATAGCATGCCGTCATCTGTCATATCAAGCCACAGCATGCATCTTGGAGTCTTGGCCACAGCCTCCCATGCCATCTCTACTGGAACCCTCTTTTCTGTTTTCTACAAACCAAGGTTTGATATCTTTTGTTTGCTTTATCTATACATTTGACTGCAGTACACTTATTAATGGACGTGCAACTATCCTGTGTATTTGACTGTACTTTCTATTTGCTAATTTCTCTCTGTTTCAAACTTCAAAGTCAGTTCTGTACTCTGCTTCAGTTGTAAACAAGCCTTTTGTTTGTAGCTACTGCATCCATTGAGTGATGTCTTATCCCTTGCCCTTTTCGTTGCACCAAAGTTACCTACTACGGTTGTCCTAGTTAGCATTAATGCGTGCATGTTTCGTTTCCTTCATAATCTTGCCCGCTAAACTTTATGCTCCTTTTCTGTGTTCCCAGAACTAGCCGATCTGATTTTATTGTGAGTGTTAACAAGTACCTTGAAGCTAAGAAGCAGAAAATATCTGTTGGAATGAGGTTTAAGATGAGATTTGAAGGTGATGAGGCTCCTGAAAGAAGGTATGGTTTGGACTTGCTTTCATTTAAACATTTTATTTATGCTGGGAGCAAATTAACATTTCTGTCTCTGATTACAGGTTCAGTGGAACAATTATTGGCATCGGCAGTTTGCTGGCAATGTCAAAATCTCTGTGGGCAGATTCTGACTGGAGATCTCTAAAGGTAATGACAATTTTTTTCTTTGTTAAATTAGTAGTGTGCTATCTGCAAATTGTGCAGAGTGATGCATTATATTTATTTTCTTTATCTTCTAAATGTTAACCTAAACTGTAATTTTTACCAGGTTCAATGGGATGAACCTTCATCCATTCTTCGTCCAGATAGAATCTCACCATGGGAAGTGGAGCCTCTGGATGCAGCTAATTCACAATCCCCTCAACCTCCATTAAGGACTAAGCGTCCACGACCCCCAGCTTCACCTTGTATGGTTTCAGAACTTCCTTCAGGTTTTGGTAAGGAGTCCCTTAATACTTGTTATGAAATATGGTTCAGCTTCTAGAATGCTCAGTTCATGGATACCATAAGCATTCTTGGATATGAATACGATGTGCTCTCCTACTGTATCTGAGTTCTTGTGGCATTCATGTTAGGACTCTGGAAATCTCCAACTGAATCATCCCGTACACTCTCATTTTCGGAACCTCAACGGGCTCGAGAGTTATTTCCTTCAATTCCCACGTCAACCTTCTCATCTTCATCAAACGTCAGTTTCAATTCAAAGAATGAGCCATCCATGCTAACCAGTCAGTTCTACTGGTCAGCAAGGGATACAAGAGCTGACTCCTGCGCCGCTAGCACCAACAGAGTCATTGTTGAAAAGAAGCAAGAGCCAAGTTCTGGTGGTTGCAGATTGTTTGGAATTGATATATGCTCAGCTGAGGAAGAAGTATTACCTGTGGTTACTGCTCCAGGTGTTGGTTATGAGCAGACTGCTGCCTCTGTAGAGTTGAACTCGGATAAGCTCTCACAGCCATCAGATGTCAACAATTCTGATGCCCCAGCAGCTAGCAGTGAGGGTTCACCTCTTGAATCCCAAAGCCGGCAAGTGAGGAGTTGCACCAAGGTGATTTTATATCACATTAGTTTTTTCTCATTGTGTTCTGTTCTTGCTTGTGGTTCACTGGGTAACTGATTAATGTTGTGCAAACAGGTAATTATGCAAGGAATGGCAGTTGGAAGGGCTGTAGACCTGACAAAGCTTAGTGGCTACAGCGATCTTTGCCAGAAGTTGGAGGAGATGTTTGACATCCACGGGGAGCTAGGTTCCACACTCAAGAAATGGCGGGTCATTTTCACCGATGATGAGGATGACATGATGCTTGTTGGGGATGATCCTTGGGAGTAAGAACCCTTCATCTCTGTATGAACGAGTACTTTTTTCCATTATTGAAGTCCTAATCCCTGTGCATTGCATCTTTCTTCAGTGAGTTTTGCAGAATGGTGAAAAGGATTTACATTTACACATATGAGGAGGCAAAGAGGCTGACATCCAAGTCGAAGTTACCGGTTAGCAGTGACAGCAGCAAGCTGAGCGCTGTAAACTCACTGTCTGAATGACTCTATCAACAAAGACTGCAGAGTGCTAACGTCCCTCTAATTTTGTTATTTCCACCATTGATTATGGGGGTAAATGCCCATCATTGCTCCGTGGGCTGAAGTTGTGGTTGGCATTCAATTGCCTTGAGTTTTGGAGGCCTTTGGACTGCCATGCCAGCATGAGCCTCCTGGAAGAGGCACTCTGGCATCTGTGTGCCATTTCCCGTTTGTCTGTGACGTCTAGTAGGAGTATCCATGGCTTGAAGAAAGAACTGGTCAGCTGCAAGATGGACGGACGGTGCCTTTGCCTCTCCTTCGACTACTTAGCTAGTAATTAGTACTATGTATGTAATGAATGTATATAGTGCCATTAAGATGCCCATGCCCTGGTATTGAGGTTCGGGCATTTGTATGCATCAATTGTGGTTCCGTAATTGTTATCTTTAGCAGTAACAAACCTGAGGGTGTAGGTGGTCAGGTGGGAGATGTTTCTTTCAGCAACAATCTTTGCGGAAGTGATCTGTATATAGTCTACTGTTTAATAAGCAATGCTGTGCAACTTGTGCTCCTAGCCTTTGCACTCTACAATGGCGCTTTTCTTGTGCCGGATGTTTGCTTGATGACTGCCTATTTTCGTGCATTTGCCCGTGCCTTTTGTTGTCTGAGGAGCGAGAACCAGGGGACCAGTCTGCAGTGTGCCCTGCCCTTTGTGGCCTCATCAGTCCAAAAAAGAAGAGAGGCGTCAGTTGTGCTCCTGTTTCAGAATGTATCATATCAGAATCCAGAACCATTGTGATGAGAAACGTTGTGCCGTGTTCGATTTATTCATGTGGCCGCTGGTTACGCGTCAGGCTCCACAACAATGGTTCAAACACAGCCGCTATTTTTTTTAGCACACTTATAACCGCTAGTTGTGTTTGTCTCTGGGGCCACTAATATCAGGAAGGACACCCCAAACTACATGCCAACGGGCAACGGGTGCGTGCTACTTGCTTACACATTTTCATATGCTAGTTGCTTACTACTTCTAGTGCCGGTAGGGCAGTCCACAGCATGGCAGATATATAGGGATGAACGCATCCCTTAATGGTAAGTTAGAGTAGCTTTTTGTAGTTTTACGGTTAAAAAAATATAGTAGTTTATTCTAAAAAAAAAATATAGTAGTTTTTTGTAGTTAACATATCCTGTAACTTTATTTCTGACTCGGCAAAACTATACTTACTGGTAAGAAAGAACAAGTTTATCGAGATTCTTCCTATTAATGCGGGATGTTTAGGCGCCTGCACATACTGTAAGACAAAGCAGGCCCGTGGTCATTTGGGAAGCTATACCATTGACAGCTTGGTAAGTATATTCAGAATTTGTCTATTGTGGAGCAATGCTGCTGTTGCTTGAAACTCCATGTAAATCATTTGAGCTTCAATCTATTGCAGGTGGATCGTGTGAAAACTGTTGTCTCCGAAGGTGTCCGGGAGATCTGGTTGAGCAGCGAAGATACTGGTGCTTATGGTAATCTCGATCCTCCTTTCATACTAGAGCATTTGAAGGAGATAGCTGCCGTTTTGTGTCATCCTCCGTTTACTCTTTCCTCCATGTTCCTGTGCAATCTGGAAGTGATTCTGTTTTAACGGTATAGTTTAACTTCAACTCTTGTTCTGGAAAGCTTTTTAGCAGCAAACATACAACATGAATATTCTTTGTTTCTAACTTATATCCAGTGTCTTAACCTGGATCTGACTCAGTCTATGATTGCACATCCCAGGCAATGAATCGTGAATACACTGTTGGCGAGTTCAGAAAGGTAGTTGACACTCTGTGTGAGCTTGTCCCTGGAATGCAAATTGCTGCAGATATTATCTGTGGCTTTCCTGGTACGCTAAGCAAGTTCTCAGTTTAACAATTCGCTCTTATTATTTATAAGTACATCTGAATGATATTTTATTAATTGAATGCCACAAAAGATGTTGCTGCTAATAGTTTGCACTGAACTGACATCCTATTTTCAGGTGAGACTGATGAAGATTTTTCTTAGACTGTTAACCTCGTAAAGGAATATCAATTCCCTCAAGTCCACATTTAACAGTTTTACCCCAGACCAGGTAAATTGTTCTTTCTCAAGCCACAATGTTCTGTAAAACTACAAGTCTTGGTTGCTGATATTCTTTTCCTACATGTACATCTACAACGTGATTTTTGTAGGGACGCCTGCTGCTAGGATGAAGAAGGTACCAAGCAATGAAGTGAAAAAGCGGAGTCGTGAATTGACTTCAGTTTTCGAATCATTTTCACCATACCAAGGAATGGAAGGCAAAGTAGAGAGGATCTGGATCACCGAGATTGCGACTGATGGTGTTCACTTGGTAAGTGCATACCAATTCTTGTCACTGATCGCTAATCATGTTCATGCCCGGTGCAAAGCTTACCCTGAAATGATCTTTTCCTGCACAGGTTGGACATACCAAGGGATATATCCAGGTGCTGGTAATTGCTCCAGATAGCTTGTTAGGAACGTCAGCAAATGTGAAGATCACATCTGTTGGACGATGGTCTGTCATGGTGATGTGATAGAAGGATCTGTTGCAGTAGGAGAAGCACCGAAGCAAACTAGTGCCAAACTGCAGAAAGAAGACATACACCAACAGGTGGAGGAAGCTGGTTGTTGTGCCACTGACTCTTGCGGCGCCTGTGCATGCTCCAATGAGGCACAACAGTTTGGCCCAGAACGATGTGAAGACACGTCTCATGCCCCGCAGACCTGTGGTGATGTTTACTCGTCAGGAGGCACTCCAGCCTAAGCGTAGAGGGAACTGCGAAAGAAAGTGACAGCAGTGCAGCACATTTACTAGGGAAGGAACGGCAGGTGAAAGTAAACTAGGAGAGGGGCAAGTATAAATATTGACACGATTTTGTGGTAACACGGTTTGGCCGTCAGCTTTGCTGTAACGATAGCCCTGCTTGTAAATTGTAATCCTTACCAGCAAGATTTCATCGTCATCCTCCCCCTAGGCTAAGGCGGTGTTCGTAACTTGTACTGGTTGTTCTCGAACGTGTCGCTGATCAATTTTGGCGGTTTGTTTACTCGATCTGTTCTGTATGTCGTCGCAAAATTGTGCCACTACACAAATACATCGTTGCGCCAACAGATGCTAGACCGTCTGGTCAAGCACTCCGGATAGCACCCTCGCGGCCTGGGTTCGATCCTCCGCGGAGACGAATTGCGGTGCCGAAGGTAAAAAATACCCCATATCTATCCAGCGTTATTCAAAGTACGTACTCGTGACACCGGGGTAACAGGTCTCTGTGTACGGACAGGGTATTTCGGAGATTTTCTCGGACTGGGTGAAGAGTATCAGGGCCGGCCTGAGGGCGGGCGGACGGGGCGGTGGCCCTGGCCCCAAATCCCATGGGCCCCATCCCAGGTATATACGTATTATAGTATTCAGTAGTATATCCGTTGCTTGGTTAAGACTCAGCAGTGCAGTTTGCGTTGTTTGCTAGCCTGCCCCAGAAGGCCTTCGGCAACTCCCGACTCCTACTATCTGGCTGACTCCTATACTAGGCATAGCTCTGACTGCTTCGTATGAACCAGGACACGCAAGCACGGGTAGATGAATTAATATGATCGCAGAGATGGTCTATACATAAGTTTTTTTTAAAGAATAATTCAAGCACTTCGAGAGATTCAAACAAGTTGGTGATAGTTGTTGTCGAGGAACCAAAACATACCATCATTAATGACTTCGCATCGAGGAACGCTAAAAAAATTAAAATATATACGAATTGTTTCTTATGAATATTGCTTTTGTATATATAGTTAAGTGTTTACCATTAATATTTCTTATATATAATATAAGCGTTTTGTTCATATGTATATAAGGGCCCCTAAATTTAGGTTTTGCCTCAGGCCCCTAAAAACATAGGGCCAGCCCTGGGAGTCAACTACCTTAATGCGAATGCTCGAGAGGCACATACTATCTCCCTAGAGTCCGAGTTTTTTTAAATACATAGTTGCAAACAAGTTTTCTCACAGCCTTCTGATGCTGCATCAAGGATCAGGGTTTGGTGAAAGTGAAGAACATGATGTTATTTGCTACTGTGTTTGGAATAATAATTTGGTAGTGCACCGATACCCAAGGCTTGACTTCGACTGTGTGTCATCACCTTTTTTTTGGAAGAAAACTGTGTCATTACTTTTCTTTTGAAAGAAAACTGTGTATGCTCACTCGTCAGACAAAGATAACCGAAGAAGTGAGCAGGTACCAAATAAACAGTCCGGAGAAAAAAAAAAGCAGGCACCAACAAACAGGCTGAAGCACAAAATAGGGAAAAAATCAAGCAAAATGAATGTCGGGGCAGGGATACATTTTCAGAGATACGCGCCTTTGCATCTTTGGGACAGAGACAGATACGAACGGTCGATCCGTGAAAGGACTTGGAATGGGCACTCACCGATGGTATACGTCCATCCTCTGCACTGGCAGGCGGCAGGCCTGCTGGGCACGGCCAGTCGCCCAGTCCGCCACCGATCCTAACACCGTCGTCGACGGTGAAGAGTAGCTGTGCACACAGCCGCACAAGCGACCAGGAGATCCAGCCCCCGGCCCCCGCCGAACTACGGCATTGTAGTTGTAGGCGTCTTGCTTAGTCTCTAGGAGGTACGTACGTACCCTTGCTTGCCCTTGTGTACGTAGACACAGACACAGCGTCGATCACTTCCTTGGTCCTTGCCAAGTTGTTGCCATGTGCGCGGGACGGTGCGTTCATATATCGTGTACCGTGGACAAGCGTATCCTACAAACAAGTGGTAGTGGCACGTACGTGCACCGTGTCAGCTCGTGTTTGGCCGTTTTTACCAGCCATATCCCATCTTCTATTTGCGGATGATAGTATTTTCTTCGCAAGAGGAGATGCCAAGAACCTTTGAGCTCTAAATGAGGTGCTGCAAACTTATAGTGAAGGATCGGGCCAGCGAATTAATTTTAAAAAATCTTCAGTTTTCTTTGGTGATCATTGCCCAGAACATATCAAGGACAGAATAATGACATGTCTCAATGTCCGTTGTGAGGCCATACAAACCAATTACTTGGGTATGCCATCTTAGGTAGGAAGATCTCTTACAAATACATTTAATTTCCTACCTGACCATATGTGGAAGAAAATAAGAGGATGGAGTGACCGTCCCCTCTCAAGGGCAGGTAAGTAAATAATGTTAAAGTCAGTTATCCAAGCTATCCCATTATATGTTATGAGCTGCTTCCGCTTACCACTGGTGGGAAATTGAAGATGGTAAGAACAAATTGCATTGGCGATCCTGGGAATGGTTAACGACACCAAAAGCCATGGGTGGTATGGGATTTCGAGATATGGAACTCTTCAATCAGGCAATGCTAGGAAAGCAATGTTGGAGAATTCTTACAGTACCTGATTCACTGTCGACTAAATGTGCCCGGCAGTCCATCGAGGGGTATACCCACGATGGTAGATTTGTCATAGAGGTGAGCGAGATCAGGAGCCAGATGGTGGCAAGACACAAGATTTAGACAGGTTCAGGCCGTCAGCTTTACGTAATACCCTAATCCTGTGCCCCGTCGGTTTATATTGGCTATCGTATATGATTGCGTGCCTTTTGAGGGGGTCCCCCTACCCGCCTTTTATAGCCCGAGGGTAGGGTTACATGCCGATCAAGTTAGAGTCCGATCGGGTAAGAGATAATCTATACATGGAATCATACATTCAGCATATCCTAACAGATTCTACGCAATCTTCGAGATGTCGCCGAGGTGCCTTGCGACGCGCGCCGAGCTGTGCCGTGCGCCTCAAGCCTCCATCTTGTGGGCTGGACCGCCCCTATTGGTGCGGCCCATGTAGTCTGCCGTGGGTACCTGGGGTCAGACCCCCCACAGCTAGTCCCCGAGCCTTGTACCCGCTTGGTGACGCCGTCTTGTTCAAGTCCGAGCAGCTTGCCGTAAAGCCAATCAGCTCCATTGATGATCCGAACAATAAAAGCCTAGACCGACCAGTTCGACTGGCGATTCAGGCGGTGAAGGTACGTGCCGACCAGCGAAACTAGCCTGCCGACCTGTTGAGTCTGCTACCGACCAGCGCAACTAGCCGACAGACCTCGGACTTAGCCATGTAAGGTTCACCAATAGGATGTAAGGAGCTCCAAAGAAAAATTCAAGAATTCTTGGTTGGTGAAGTGTACACACTTAAGTGCTAGTTGCAAATGCGCTGATGATGTGGTCACCAGAGCAGAGCAAAGGCATTAAATAACAAACTCGATGTAGTCAAAGCACCATGGAGAAGAAACAGTACGTGCACCGCAAGGTGCATTGTACACAATGTAGTCCCCGAGCCTGCTGGAAGATGAAAAATGAATCTTGTAGCAGGGTCAAAGAAAAAAAAATACAGTCCCCAGCGTAGCTACGAAAGTAACCAGTCCCCGGCGTAGCCGAAGAATCCAGTGATCGAAAAAAATCAGTACATTCACTGCAAGGTGAAGTATACACACTTAGCCCCTGAGCCTGCTAGAAGATGAAGGTATGAACCTTGTAGTAGGGTCAAAGAAAAAGCCTTGAAAATATGCCACCTAATTGGAGAAAAATCTTCCACGGAGTAACAGCCAGAAAATCACAAAGGCGCAATTAACGCCTCAATTATCGGAGCTACATGTGAAACCGAACCGCCCGTTGTATCTTCTAGAAAAAGGAGACCATGACGGCCCACAAAATGGCCCATTAAAGGCGTCCACGGAGAATTCGGAGTGACGTGTATTAACCGTACACAGGCATGTGCGCGTGGTGCATCGGTTGCAGGAGCAAGCGCACGTGGTGCGGCACGGTTTCCTAGAAACCTTGGAGATGAAGGGGCGGAGGTGAACCAATATAAAGCTCACTCTGCCCACGACCCATTCCATTTCGCTTGAGTGGTTGCACAGTTCTCTCGTCTTCTTCCTCGAGCTACCTAGAATCACTCCGCCGCCGTCGCTGCTTCGTCCGCCGCCACCACCCACGCCTGTCCTTGAGTACCCTAGCCCAGCACGCAGGTAGAGCGAGCGTGGCGAGTCCCCAGATCTAGGTCCAAGCAATGGCGCCTTCTAAGAAGTCGTGGAAAATGACCGCTCGCAGCAAGGAATGGGTGGCGTCCACCGGCACCCAGGAGGATCTAGAGGAGTTGGTGTTTGATGGAGTCCTGCCCGATCAAGTGATGGCCGCATGGCAGCCCGCCGTAGGTGAGCGCTATCCATCCCCTAATGACGGCGAGCTTGTTGTATTCGAAGATTTCTTTCGCCGTGGATTTGGTTTGCCGGCACATCCCTTCTTCCACAAACTCCTTGCGTACTATGGCATATGCCTCATCCATCTCAACCCAAATAGCATACTCCATCTCTCAATCTTTATCAATCTGTGCGAGGCGTATCTCGGCATTGAGCCCCATTTCAATCTTTTTCGGTACCTCTTCCACCTCAAATCTTTTTCTAGAGCAAAAGTTGTCAGTGCGACATATCTTGTGCTGCGAGATAGGAAGGCAGCGGAGTACAAACCCGTCCCGCTAAGCACATCGAA